TTAACTCTCTTAGCGCCTAAGTTTACAGGCAATATAATATCATACTTAATATTTAAATCTTTCATATTCTTCTTATCCTTAATAGTTTCTAACATTCAGTACATGTTGTTATAGACTAGATGTGTATAATCTGTAAGTAGCTTAGTGTTGCTATCACAATGGAAAACATACCTTGGTAAAATAGTATTGTAGATTAAAAAACAATTGTCTCTAACAGCTAACCATAGACAAGTCTGCTACTTTGAAATCTTATCATGTTTATCATAGATTAAGTATTGTTAATTTGTTAGTTTTTAATATATTAAATTATTTAAATATATGTACTTTGTTAAAATATTACAAAGCATATTATTAATATTTACTGAAGTTTTAGACATTAATTAGAAATTTTGCGTTTCATTTGATCTTAAATTATTTTTATCGTTAATATTATTGTTGTAAAATTAAAATTTTGTCCAAATTTGGACATGTATTTTCCTGTTGGGCTGTTACATTACTTTGCTTTTAAGTATAATTATGTTTTAGAATATATAATCTTTACAATATATCTAATATATTGATAATTAACACTATTAAACTCTTTAGAATTGTAGATGTACCAATATTTGATTGTTGGCTGAAATATCAATTTATATTATCTAATTTAATTTAGCACTAAATTATTACTTGACAACTGTTTTGATTAGACGTAAATCTGTAATTGTATAAAATTGCACACATAACCTAATTTTTGAATTAATATTTATATAAAAACTAATTTGCTTCAATCGTATTTATATATATGGTAATAACTTACTCGTTATCATTCCAAACAAACGATTGTCCTGTCACATGATTACTGTTTATCAGTAATAAAAACATAATAACAGTAATATTTACATGTGAAGTTCATTAAACATAAGGGTTATTTACAACTTAACTTTTTGCAGTTATGAGACCTTATTTAATAATGCAAGAACACGATCGAAATTTAAAAATAATATTTTCGGATTGCATTTGAATATTTATGAATTTATTTATAGAATTTAATGTTTTAGTATAGATTATTTAGCTTTGTCCCAAACAAATCATAATTATTACAATGTTAATGTATATCATTTTAATCGTATGTCGTAATCGTGTTAATAGAAATCACTTGAATATTAAAATACAATTAGATTCACTTTTAAATAGCAGTTTGGTGACCATTATGTGCAATTATATAGGGGATACGCTACTTAAGTAAGCCTAAACCAATTGTCAGTATTCGAATGTTAAACGTTTTATTAAATTAATTATTCATCGAATTGTTTTTTTTTAACCATAATGTCCCCTTGTTAATGAACCTTTAGAATAAAGATATCAATGCTTGACCCAGAGGTTAACACGATATAATATATAAACGTACTGTTTAAGATACAAATGATTCACAGCGAACGCTTGGACAGTAGCAATATTACTCGCAATGGCTAAAGACCTTGTTATTTTGGCTTATTCAGGAGGTTTAGACACTAGTTGCATTTTAAAATGGTAAAGTTTCTATTTCGCATACTTTTTCTGTTAGTTATAAGACATTTTTGTTTAAATGTGACTGCTGAAAAATAGAATTAATTGTTAAATTATACCAATGCTCTTTATCCCCTAATTTAGAATCAAAGTCGTAACGAGACTATTTTTTCCTACTTAAAGTACCATCTTACTAAGGGCGGCGATTATTAGTGCAACTTGCACTCTTGACTCCGCGGCTCTGGAAAGCGAGCGGGTGCTCTTTCCGAACCACTGGACTTTGTGCCAGGATGTTCGTCTTCGACATACCTATACATTTTGCTTTCCTTTGGTCTTTCGTAATACGATGAGATGATCAATTCGTATTTTTTTACCTATTAGTATTTTGTTTAATGTCGAAATAAAAAGTAGAGCGTATTGAAGAAATATTTAATCATTGGACCTTCAGGTTGATACAAAAAAATTACGATGTCGTGTGTTACATGGCCGATGTCGGCCAGGACGAAGATTTTGAAAAAGCCAGAAAGAAAGCTATGAACATTGGCGCGAAGGATGTAAGTTGATAGTCCTTTTTAAATAACCCTAATTTAGTCGATTGTTTACGTAACAATTCATTTACTGAGGTACACGAATCGAGTAAGCTACCAGCTGCAAATGTAAATTAACTTTCGTTTATTTCTAGGTTATAATAGAAGATCTACGTAAAGAATTCGTGGACAACTATATGTTACCAGCCGTACAAATGGGCTTAATCTACGAGAGTCGATACTACCTCGGCACTTCTTTAGCCAGACCTTGCATCTCCGTCGGCATTGTTAATGCTGCTAAAAAACTAGGCGCTAAGTAAGTTCTTACTTCACTGAATTAGATATTTCAAATTGCTTAACCTCGTGACATTATTGTTAATTTTTAAGGTATATATCACATGGAGCTACTGGTAAAGGCAACGATCAAGTCCGATTTGAACTAAGTGTATACTCACTATGGCCAGAAGGAAAGGTAATATGAAGTTTTGTTTTACATATACCTACGCTTGTCTTGGGTAAAATGCAATAAAACGACATATCTTCAAACAAAAAACATATTTTTCTTTTCTTTCTTTTTTATATATTAAATCTTAGCATAGTTAATTAACTTGCCAAGACTTATGTTAGACATTTCACTACACTTTTTATAGATCTCGGCTTAACTCAAGTATTTCGATCTAGGAATCGACTAGTTTCAGACCTGTCGGGCGTGCTAAACTAGCCCGTTAATCCCTTCAACCAAATGAAGTAACGGGTCTGAAACTAATTGGCACCTTTACTGAAATTCACGTGAGTTAAGCCGTGATCTATAATAATTATTGTAGTCTTAGCCTAGTTAACCTTGTACTACGAATCATCATTTTTATTTTTACAGATAATAGCGCCATGGCGTCTTCCAGAGTTCTTTGAACGATTCCAAGGTCGCAGCGATCTTATAGAATTCGCTAAGAATGAGAAAATACCAGTTGCAGCAACACCTAAAGAACCTTGGTCAACAGATGAAAACATTATGCATATAAGGTAGGCAACTAATTAATTATTCCGATTTTAAAAAAAACAACAGATTTCGGAAAATTTCAAAAACTAACTTCGTGGCAAATATTGTAACGGATTATTATCGGATGGAGCGACTGCATTTGAAAAATTTCCTAACATTACAGCTACGAATCTGGTGTACTTGAAGACCCTGGAGTTGTGGCACCTTCTGGAATATATAAGATGACACGCGATCTTAACAGGACTGAAGACTATCCAAGCACTATTGACATTATTTTTGATAAAGGTGAGGATTTATTAACTCCGCATTTCTCACTATTTTAGTTTTTAGTTGTTAACTAAGCTGGTCCTTGTATTTAACAACTATAAGTACGCAATAACAATAAGCTCTCGGGTAGAGGCAGAGAGCAAAATAATTTGCCAAGCCCTAGTACCTCTACGATGTGAAACGAAGACCTAATTTAATCAAATTTACAGGTTTACCAGTGTCCATTGTGATACCAAGCGGTCACGACAAACCAATGGAATTATCAGATTCACTAACCATAGTTCAAACGTTAAATAAGCTTGGAGGTCAGCATGGCGTGGGCCGAATTGATATCGTCGAAAATCGATTTTTAGGCCTTAAAGTAAGTTGAATTATCTGACCTAGGATTCTCAATAATTTCTAAAGCCTTTAATTGTAATTTATGTTGGCTTTAGTCAAGGGGCTTATACGAAACTCCGGCTGGGACAATTCTACATGCTGCACATCTCGACCTTGAAGCCTTTGCTTTGGATAGAGAAGTACTAAGGTAATATAAAACTATCATAGAGTCATTAGTCAATAACAGTTTATTACAAGGTCTTATCTAGAACTTATGTCTCTATCTTCAAAAATAAGTGCCCTAACACACTGTCGCGATAAAAAAAAGAATGTTTATAAGTTATCGTCGCATTCTATGTCAATAGGCCAAAGTAATATATTTTACGTTAATCGATAAGAGATGAGAGTATGCTTTAAGATAAAATTGGATTGAAGGACTATGAAAGACTATCGTGTGGTCTAAATAAAAAACTTATAAAACAACAGATACAGATACTACAGGGGAATTCATATATCATTAATCTGTATTAAAAGCTTCAAATATATTTATGTGTATATTATTTTAGGATGAAGAAATATCTTCAAGAGAAAATGTCTGATTTTGTGTACAATGGCTTTTGGTTTTCTCCCGAAGCAACATTCACTCGAAAATGTCTAGAATTATCCCAACAGGGCGTCAGTGGTAAAATCACAGTACAAATCTACAAAGGAAATGGTATGTTAAGTTGTGTCTATTATATTAGAGATAAATTTTTAATAGATTTATCCTCAGCACCTAATCAGAAGACAAATTTAATATATAATAATTCCATTAATTTGTCTTTCAGTTACCATACTATCTCGGAAAAGTTCTACTAGTTTATACAATAAGGACCTGGTTTCAATGGATGTTGCCGGAGGATTCTCCCCTGAAGATAGTACCGGATTTATTAATATCAATGCAATTAGACTCAAAGAATATGCTCGATTTACTGCACAAACTAAATTTTAATTTATGAACGAAAGTAATAAAGCTTGATTACGAAAGTAATAAAGGAACGTGTATTTTCATTGGCTTTTGTAGTTATTACAACTGATAAACATAACCCATAAAGAATACGAATGAAACATTCGTAAATTTGCCTTTTTTTGTGACAGGTACGATTCATTGTATTAAAAGAGATAAATCTAAATAGAATTAAGCGATGCAAATCCAATCCTTCTAGGAATGTTTTTATCTCTGGCGATGCAGGAGTTTTGTTTCATAATATTATGAAAGTATGAATTACTGAATTATATTTTGAGAAAAACAAAATTATAGGAAAGTGTAACGAGATCTATTTATAACTCTGCAGATAAAAAAACTTGCTCTATTTGGTAACATTAGCCTTTAGCTGTCATTTATTGACCTAAAGGTCTATGTTACCAGGTCATAAAATTAAAATAAAAAAATCATAAAGCTGTCATTTATCTATCAATGTCATTACTATTTGGTTATTTATTTGTTTTGTTAGATACATTGTAAAACAGCGGAAAACAGGAATATAGAATAAAAAATCTGTAGGAGGCAAATACTATTTAATAATAAACCAAAGAATTTTAAACTTCGATGAAAAATCGCTAGTTTTATCAGAATTAAGTATACTGTCATAAACCCAAATTATCATCAGCTTTCGATTCCTTGTAATAAGACTGATATAGCAAAATGCACAGAAATCTACCACAAAATAAAGAAGCTCTTCTAAAATCTTATACGACTCGACTAAAAGAGGATGTCAAAAGCATGCTGGAAAATTTTGAAGGTAAGAGCTGTATACTATTTATGTTCTTTGGACCTTTTTATATTGAATAAGCTAACGCTTGACCACGGTCCCATCTGATGTTAAGTGATGATGTAGTCAAGAGATGGTACGCGCTAGCTTAATAAATGCATATTCACTCTACTCTTGAAGGCTCCACATCATACTTACATACTACTATACTAGCATATTTGGTTTTAACTCTAGCATTATTTTTATAATTTTTAGTATTGAAAGCACTGGCTATTCCAATGTATTTATTATGTTCCCTCCACTGTGTCTTAATTATAAATTGTTTGGAATATAATGTCGAATATGGATAATAAAAGAATTATTAAGAAATTAAATAAAAATTGTATTATTTCAGAAATAATCAAACTTGCCAAAGGCGAAAATGATTCACAGCTAAATAGAATGACACAAATTGAACAAGACACTTTTGAAATGCAAGTCAGAGCAGCAAATATAGGTAATATATTGTTTTTTTTTCTATTAAATACTGTTAAATATAATTAAACTATTAATTAATTAAATAATTTTACATTTCAGTGAGAGCTGGTGAATCTTTGATGAAGCTAGTCTCAGACATCAAGCAATATTTAATATTAAATGATTTTCCATCAGTGAATGAAGCGATAACACAAAATTCTAAACTCTTTCGCACAAAACAACAAGAATGTGATCAAAAATTAATGTCATTAAGAGATGATATTGCAGCTGATTTGTATGACTTAGAAGATGAATACTTTACAAGTATATACAAGTAGAGTAAAACATAATATTTTTAATTTTATAAACCTTAAACAAAACTATTATTAGCCCTTCTTTAATTCCTTTACCTCCTATTCAAAATCTTGTGTAAGTCTTGTAAGTGTCAGATGGGTTGGAAAATATGTTTATGATAAATTTTCAAGCAAATAAAACAAGGTTTTAATCAAGAATCTATCTAATTCAATTCAAATGACATTAGTTTTTTAATGTAACATTTACTTGAAGAAGGTATTAGAAAACAAATATTTTATTGATATTTAAGAAAATCTAATGCTTGACAGCTTCAACAAAATATTTCTTGGATTCTTCTACTTTTGACAAAACAGATAATGAGGTCCATCTTTGGGATACTGCTTAATGGTGACTGGTCTTCCAAATTTGTAGTCTTCAAGGAACATGTACAAAGCAAATGACCCACCAATGACACCCAAAAACCATGTCCATTGATGTAGAAGTGTGAACCTTGGCTTCATGCTAACATCATAACGATCTTCACCGTATAACTCTTGAGTGGCATGAATCTGTATACAATAAAATTGCATTATTTAAATACCACTTAAAAGTATTAACCTTAAACAAGAACATAAAAATTGATATGGTAAATATTTTCTTAACATAAGAATGCTTAAAAATTATTGTAAAACTTTACTTTAATGATATCACTGTAAAACAAAATATGTTCTAATAATTTAGAAATACAGCTTCATTCTAAAAAACAATATGTTATTTTTACCACCACCAGAATATATTCTTGATATCTTTAAATGTTACAAAGCAAAAAATAATATCTGGTTAGCATCAAACATTATACAGGGCACCGTAAAACAATGTTAGGTGAATGGAGGGGCAGACGACCTTGTACCGCTAAGATATTTGAAGTCATTTTTTGGGTTAACAAGAGAATATAGTTACTCATAATTAACATAAACTCATTATTTACATGATAATATCATGTGTTTAAACTTGTATGTTCAGCATATAAGTACGAGTAATTACGTACCGGTTCGTTAAAATTCCTTTTCAACTCGGGTTGATCATAAGGATAGTAGGGATCCTTAGAATCTGAACCAATATCGGGGAGTTTAGGATAATCGCCATAACACATGTGTTCTGGATACGGTTGATATTCTTCTATGGTCATTCCATACTTTTTTGCAGCAGCCGCTCTTTCTGCAGGAGTTCTGGGGTATGGGCCTGGTTTGTACTGATAGTTCCAATCTAAAAAGTACAATGTGACGTAACGTCATTAAAATAATAAATAATTGTATCACAGTATGTAGTAGAAATATGATTATATAACATTACGGTTTCTGGTTGCGTTACAAAATATTTCAGCCGCTTTACGGACGCCATTTGGATTAGATATTAATATTTTCTTCAATAAAGTTGAAGCCATCTTTCTCCGAGGCCTGTCAAAATTTCAAACAGAATTAAATTTTGACAACTTGAATAGAAATGTCTTACTGACATTCAAATTCTGAAAAATTTACCATGGTAGATGTAAAAATGTATTTAATGTTAAATATTATTTACTTCAGGATATTTATTGTAGTTCTTCGTCGGTAGTAATTATCAAGCTTACAAGTTATCTAGTAATTTTTGGATAATAATAATGATTGAAAAACTAATCTTGCATCTGAACATATGTATCATATACATATTTTATATACTCTTTGATATGTATGGTGTCACTGTCATGTCATTGTTATAATGACGTTGAAAGGTCGATCGAATCAAATGTCAGGTTATCCAGTAAGCCAACGCAAAACCACATATAAATTGAATATTTAAGTATCACCAAACTTATTTTTATCACAATTAGTAGAAAAAAGGAATTATGTGAAATTTTTATAGCACCAATTAATTTTATCAATGATGGGCAATGAAAACTCTCAATTAAGTGGCCTCAAAATTGACGAGAGACCAACCGAAACCACAGATTTTTGGTCACATTTTCAAGCAACGATTAGTGATAGTTGTAGATATTTTAGTTTAAAAGATGATGGATCAGTGTCTGTTTTTAAGGGAGAGGTTGTGTTGGGGCCTTTATGGATAGCAGCAACGCCATTGGAAAAATGTTCTAATGTATGTTGTACTTTAGATTTTGTTACTTATATCGAAATGTATTACAAAATCAAAATATTTCAATTTACAGAACCTTCTGAAATATCGGCACCCGTGTATTGTAAGATATGTTTCTTCATGGCAGCAAAGGACATTTCATTTGGTGACAGAATATATACAACCCTTATCACAAGTCTTAAATGAACAAACACCTTTACAAATTTGCATTGGATTAAATAACATTCTTAGAGCTTTGGTCTTTCTTCATGAGCAAGTATGTTGAACTTCATTAAAATCATATATATTAGGTTGCTACTAAATATAGACTGATTTAGATATACAATAAGGGTTTATTAAAAAATTTAATGCATATTAAAAACCATATTTTACCATATTTTTATTTTGTTTTTTAATGTGATATTTTAGGCTGGTGTGTCGCATAATAATGTCAGTATATCTTCAATATATGTATCAGGTGATGGTCAGTGGAAGCTTGGAGGATTGCAATACTTATGTACATTTAATGATTTGAATCCCTCATATTTGAAACATGCTCGAATTCACAGGTATACAAGAATAAAAATTAATGCTTGAATATAAAATATACAATTTAGTTTTTTCTTATAATAATAAAATTTTTAATAGATATGACAAAGCAGTAGATCCAGATGAAGAGTCACAAGAACTTACATCAAAGGTAGACCAATATGCATATGCAGTTTTAGTATTTGATGCATTCAAAGGTCGGAATGATGGTAAATATCTTCACTAATTACAAATTTTACAATGCTCTTTAAGTATATTATTGTATAGTATTGATATGTTATTTGTAACTTTCCAGGTGATGTTCCATATTTAAAAGAGTTCAAAAAGTTTTGCAAAGATTGTCTTCAAAATAGCAACCCCGTCAATAGACCAAATTTGTCTGAAATTTTGCAGCATGATTTTTTCAATCATGAATTTATTTCTATTTACAAATTCCTGTATTATTTGCCTCTAAAAAAAGAAGAAGACAAAAGTCAATTTTTTTCTAATATTCTGACAAATCTAAAACACTATGATGAAGAAACTGTTGCAAAGCAGCTCGGTGGGCTATTACTGTCAAGGCTAACACTGTTGGATGCAACAGCAAGAAGAGATGTCATTCCATACATTTTAAAACCTAAAAATGGTATGTAATTACTTTTCATATTTAACAAACATTCATTAGTTTAAGTTGTATTTTTATTTTTACAGAAAGATTGCAGAATGAAGATTCTACTGGTTTTTTTAGCTTAGGCGTTTTTAAGGAACATGTTAAGCCAAGATTGTTGCAGTTATTTGGAGTACGAGATAGTCAAGTCAGAATGATCCTTTTAGTGCACTTTACTAAATTTGTCCATGTTTTTTCCCATGATGAACTATCTCACCATATTTTACCCGAGGTATTTTAATAGCTAATTTATTTATTTTCTAAAATGTAATGTATGATGCAAACAATATAGGATGTCATATTTTTGTTACAGTTACTTCTGGGCATAAAAGATGTAGATGACAATTTAGTTGCATCAACATTAGTTTGTTTGAGTGAATTAGTACCAATATTGGGAGCAGATACTGTAATAGGAGGTAAAAGATCTAAATTTTTTACCGATGGCAGACCTAAGACAAACAGTATGTTGAATGATACATCTAACATGCACAAAGATGTTAGATATCCAACAACAAAATCATTAGGTGATTTCCGTTGTTCTGAAGTTTATGATACTAATGTTGCGTTAATGTTTGAGAAAACCATGGCTTTGAATGAACGGCCTACACCTGTAGGTGGAGAAGCTCAAGATGAAGACAAAAATGCAGAACCTAGCACAAGTATTTTAACTGATTCTGAAGAAGAGTGGGGTGATTGGGATAACCCTAATCGACAACTAACACTGGAATCAGATAAAATTGATTTTATTGAAAATAATTCTTCAATCAGTAACAATGATAATAAAGCTAACCTTATGCAGAAAGTTGAACATTCAATCTCCATTGAAAAACCAATAACAGACAGAACTTTGTTACAAAAAGCAGCCATGGAAGCAAAAAAACATATTGTTGACATTTCTGAGTTGGACATAAAAAGTACAAAAATAGATTTTAAGAGAAATGTAGACGAATTTGACTTCTTTGCGGATATGACACCAGTGATAGAAAAACAAAACATTGTTACAGAGACAGACAAATTACAAGATATTAGTAGCAAATTGAACTTTGTCCCAGATGAAGATTGTGATGAAAATGATGGTTGGGGTGAAAATTGGAATTAAACATTATTTAATTTCATGTATTTATTGAAACAAAGTGAATGTTACATTTAAATAATATTAAACTGTCTTTTGATAATAACTTATAATGTATATAAGTGTAAATATTATGCAATATAGAAGACTAGCATAAATGGTTATACAAATTATTTAGCTTCTGTAAGCTTTAAAATGGCAAGATTCATCTCAGTTCATGAAAACATTTAAAATCATAATAATATCTACTTTTAGATAATTAATAACTAATTCCAATAGATTGTACACATCACTATGTAGAATATGATTGATTGAATATGATGACACAGCCTAATTGTAATTTGCAATAAAATTTATTCCCTAATGATATACAATACAATAAATATTTGATATACAATTTCTTCACACAAATTGTTTGATTTGCTCTCTAATTGAATTAATACAGCTGAATTAAAAGTAGCTAAAAATAAATAACATTTTGCTTAATAATACTGTTAATCTTAATAAATCATAAATGTGTATTAAATAAAAAAAAATGACTAGATATTTCATCACTTTAAACATGGGTGTTTAGCTTTGGCAAATATTTATATTTACCTATTGAGTAATAACTTAAAATTAATTAACAATAACACAAATATAATGCTAATGATGTAAATAATGATCACAGTTATTTATAAATTAAATTGCGATTTTCTTTTGCTTAACTAAATCTTTGGAGCTATCATTAAATACTTCTATCATTTTCTGACGTGCCATGTCAGACAGACTTTCTAAGTCATTCCGAGTCATTCCTTTTGTTGGTATTGGTGGCAATGTGGTAATAACTACTTTCCCTAAACAGAAAAGACGAATTGTTAATTATATATTTCTGTTTTACATATAAAAAGTTTGAGTTATCAAAAAGACTTGAAACATTTTGTCTTAGAAATTTATAATTTTTACATACCTGGTTCAAAGGTTTTTGTTTCATTATCAAGAAAGTAGTATTGGCTAAATACAACAGGCATAATAGGTACTTGGGCATCTATGGCTAGATAAAATGCCCCTTTTTTAAATGGTTGTATATTACCATTGTTATACCTTGCGCCTTCAGGAAATATCCACAATTTAGTCTGAAAAGAACACACATTTAAATATATTTATTTACGCGTATTTTTTTCGTACGTATATAAACATTTTAATAAAATTTCATACCTTTTCGCGTATAACTCTGTCAGTGGCTTGTTTCATTAGTCGGCGAGCTTTGTCAGTTTTAAGACGATCGATAAACACAAGACCCGAAAGCCAAGCCCCGAATCCAAATGCCCCAGCGAACATTAGGGGTCTTTTTGCAACAACCGTACACCGCTTCATTCGAGGCCACATCTCAAACATACCTGTTAAATGGAATAATAAGTGGACGTAAAAAATAATTTTCAAACATGGTTCGTATTAAAATAAAAAAGCTTGCCTAAAATATCTAAGGAGCTCTGATGATTCGAAATAACTATATAACACTGTTCATTATCCCAGTGCTCCAATCCTCGTAATTCCCATTCAATACCGACAATACGTGAAGCATAACGACAAAACCGAGACGCAACACTGTAAAAGAAGAAATAAAATTAAATTTGTTAATTACACAAGATTTTCACGGACAAAAAAATAATCAATATTTTACATGAGATTCGTAACATCACGAGGATAAAAAAACACTACGGGCAATAAAACTGTACATGTTATCAATACATAACTATAGTACAGGAAAAACTTTAAGTAATATCGAAAAACATTGCTTTTTTCATATAAAAAGGGCAAGGTAAATATAAAACCCGCCAAAAATAATTCAGGATATGAAAAGGAGGAAGCCATAACGAACCATAGACGTATTTTTTAAAATTTTTAACTATACCAGAAAAAGTAAAAGGTGATTCATAGACAGAATTTAAGTTTTTTTTTATATTAGATATTTTACATTTCTTTGAAAAAATGGCAGTGATTTAATTCATTTTGTACATTTTTTACTATTAAATATCAAAAAGATAAATTTTTATAAGAGTAAATAGCTAATCACAAGTGATATGTACAGAAAGTGAAATTTAATATGGCGTTTTCTATTAGGGTTTCTATCTAGTTGAATTATTAACTCAGATTCTGTTAGAACATAAATTGTTTAGTTTACTAGTAAATTAGAAAAAAGTAGTATAAAAAACATTTTATGAGGCCAAATATTCAGGTTCAAGTTGGTGTAGCAGTACCTTAAGAACTTTTTAAGGAGGTGAGGCAACACCAACCGTTTTTCTGTCATTTTGACGTGAAACTAGAAAAGACTCCTTTCCGGTTTCCTCCTTCGGTGGGTAACCGAGTTACTTGAAATTTTATAATTTTGTTACAATGGTGAGCGAAAGATTATAAAATAAGATTTGTGTATTATTTTAAGAACAAATATATCTCCGAAAAGAAACTTATTTTACTATTTTAGTGAATGATTCCGTGTTAAAAAGTGGATAGGTTATACCACATATTGCTTTGGCCACTCACTTTTCCATTTAAATTGTTGTGTTAAATATTTTGCAAACATTTTATTCTACCCAACTGATAAAAATATGATGAAATTACGACACATGCGCGTCATCTGATGCTGCAGAAGATCCAAAACTAACTAATTGTGCCATGTTCTATGTGTACAATCATGTTATTTTGTATTCGACTGTAGCGTTATTGATTATAAAGTGTCTCTGATAATTCAGTATATACTTAGACACTTTGTTAGGTTATCGCAGTCATTGTAATATTTAATCGTGTTTTCAGGGTTTCGTGAAAGTAGTCAAGAATAAGCAGTACTTTAAGAGGTACCAAGTTAAGTTCAAGAGGCGTCGTGAAGGCAAAACTGACTACTACGCCCGCAAACGCCTTATTGTTCAGGTAAGTTTCATTTATGCATCTAATCTAATCCGGTGTACATATGTATGAGTTATATGCTCCTTGATATACCTTGTGTTGGTTATAATAGTTATATTATTTACTTAACTTCTTATATTAGGGCTGTATGCTTAATGATGTGCTTTTTATTTCAGGACAAGAACAAATACAACACTCCTAAATACCGTCTCATCGTACGTCTGTCCAACAAAGATGTTACCTGCCAGGTGGCTTATTCAAGAATTGAAGGAGACCACATTGTGTGTGCTGCATACTCACACGAACTTCCCCAGTATGGCATAAAGGTAAGTTGTCAAACTAAGGTAGAATAGTTTAAATTTTCTTGTGTACTTAAATGGTGATTTATACATTTTGCGTTTTTGTTATTTTTCAATTTACATGATGATTTTGAACGGGCGGTCTGAAGCACTGTACAAATGCACAAAACCATGTTGTAATATGTTCATTACTGAACTAATGAAATTTTTGTTAAGAATGTCTTTCAAATGTATTGTTATGTACACAATATACATTTAATTTTAGGTTGGTCTTACCAACTATGCTGCAGCATACTGCACGGGCTTGTTACTCGCCAGACGTTTACTTCAGAGGCTAGGGCTGGACTCCCTGTACACTGGAGCGACAGAAGTCACTGGTGATGAATACAATGTAGAACCTGTAGACAATGGCCCTGGAGCATTCAGGTAACTTTGAAATTAAATTTTAGCAAATTGTTAGTATAAAAATATGTTTTGTTTATGTCTACTATGATGAAAACAAACGGGCGGACTGACAACTTCTGATGCCACACAAAATATTGTACAAAATTTTACTGAGCAGTTTATAAACAACAAACAAATGTCTATAGATTGGACACACTTAAACAATCTTTATAATTTTAGGTGTTATCTGGATGTGGGTCTTGCCCGCACCACCACAGGAGCCCGTGTGTTTGGCGCCATGAAAGGAGCAGTGGACGGTGGCCTAAATGTCCCACATTCCATTAAAAGGTTCCCTGGATATGACGCTGAATCGAAAAAGTTCAATGCTGAAGTACACAGGTATTTGATTGGGATTTTTTTTTTCTTCAAAGTAATATCTATGGCTCCATTCATCCATCGACTAATAGAATATCTATTTATCGAACAGCCCAATGGGAGCAACATAAATATTAAGGTTATTGGTTGTGAAAAGAAACTTGTTTTGGTTTCTTTAAACCGGCTTTGATTACATTCAAATATCCACAAAAAATTGTGATGCAATTCATTTAAAACATTTTACAATTGCACTTGTACCTGAGGAAGTAAGAAACCTTTATTATTACAAGTTACATAATTTTGCTATTATGCAACACATCATTATTGAATTTTTATAAGAAATGTTGCCATTGATTTTATCTGTTTATGCTATATTTTGCTTTTTTTTCAGGGCACACATCTTTGGTTTACATGTTGCTGAATACATGCGCAATCTTGAACAAGAAGATGAAGATTCTTTCAAGAGGCAATTTGGCAAATACATTAAACTTGGAGTAAACGCTGATGCTGTAAGTTGAGATATATTAACAACAAATTACGTCCAACCAAATTACTGCTCATTTCATTAATGTGCAGTGTCCGAAGTTGGACAAAATGAAGGCATTTATATCTTACTAATCACTGAATTCATTTTTTCAGAGATCATATGTAATTGCTACATGCCAGTTATTTATCTATACATGAAATGTTTATTTTGTTGTGCCTTTTTTAACTATTTTTTTTTTCAAACAGATTGAAACCAACTACAAAAAAGCACATGAAGCAATCCGAGCTGACCCATCCCATAAGAAGAAGGAGGCCAGTAAGGACAAGGTGAAGCAAAAGAGATGGAACAAGCGCAAGCTGACATTGGCTGAGAGAAAGAACAGAATCAAGCAGAAGAAGGAATCTTACATCAAGAAACTGAAGGCACAGGCAGAAGCTTAATTGCTACTTGCAAAATAAAGTGTCAATTTGCAGTGGATTTTTTTTATTATTTCGTGTGGAACCTCTTTACATTTATTATAATTTCTGTTTTTAATTTGATAATAAGATAAGATTAATATTACAAAATTGAAAATATAAATTAAGACAGTCATAATTTGGTCGAAACTACTGTTTTGGGCAACTTTTCTATTCCATACACACCACTTCCTTGTTCCGGGTAATTTCTGAAACGGGTGGGTTGATTTCGACGGGACATTTATTTAAATGTAGTCGATTTGTACGGAAATATTATACTAGGCCTTTTTAATTTTGCTTTGACAAAGTGGCAGGCGAAGGCAGTTTTATATATGTTACCACAAAAAGTACTGCATGGATGGTGAGTTTTGTAATTGATCCACAAATAATTCCAAGGACCAATTTATACGTTACAAGCAAAGAGCACATAATAGCTAGTATAATCTATGTATAACTAATTCTTGCCATTTATGTTATCTGTGTTTTTAAACGTCAAACAAATATCAAATCGTTTTGTTTACTTTTACATCTTAATGTTTGTTTCATTTAAATTTATTAAAATAAATCAAACTAATTTGTTTAGTTGAATGGAAATGGAAAACCCAGATAGTTTACTACGTACGTTTAAATACTTACACGTTTGTCGTATATGTCTAGGAAAAGGACAAAACACGCTAAACCTATTTTCTAAAACCGAAGACGCGATAGGGATACTAAATAAAATATTGGAATGTTTCCAAATAAAGCTTGAGTTTAAAAAACATTTACCCTCATTCATTTGCAAGAAATGTATGGAAGATGTGACTATCGCCTGGAAGTTCCGTGAAAAATGCATTAACTTTGAAAAACAGTTTGCTGTGTACAATAGGAAGGTTTTAGAAACTAATGTGACTTTATTACACAGTAATGATGAACTGGAAGAAATTGAAGTGAAAGAGGAAATCGGACTAGACGAAGAAAATGTAGATTCAACAAATCACAACAAAATTTCAGGTAATTGCAATTTCATAGTATGTAAGTTATGAATAAAGTCTTGTCATAAACATTTTTTGTGGAACCAATATTAATTTTAGGAACAAGCTTGAAGAGAACTGCGGAAAATAGCTTGAAATGTACATACTGTAACAAAACCCTTAAAAGTAAGGCATCATTACAAAAGCACAAAGTTTCTATGCATCAAAAGAGAAAATATTTGGGTAATGTCACTGGATTTGGGGCTAACCGACGCTATCTTTGTACAAAATGTTCATACGCTACCCCACACAGCCAGACCTTGATTAATCACATGAGAACACATAATGGGGAGCGTCCATATAATTGTGATTGTGGTAAAAGTTTCACACAGTCATCCAGTCTAGCTGCACACAAAAAGACACATAGTACTGTCACATTCTTCACATGCTCTGTGTGTGGAAAACAATTTAAACATGCATTCAGTTTGAAAACACATTTACATGTTCATGAAATTGCTCAATTCTCATGTGATATCTGCAATAAGTTGCTTAAATCTAAGCAATCATTACAGGCGCATATGCAAAGACATTACAATATTCACAATTACAGCTGTGAAGACTGTGGCAGCACATTTGTAACATGTTCAGAATTAACAAACCATAAGAAAAAGCATAATATTGAAAAGAATGTGGAATGTCATCTTTGTGGTTACAAAACACATGCAAAGAAAAACTTAGTGATACATCTCAAAAGGTAAATATTACATGCGAAAGTAACTCTGTCTGTCTGTCCTCCTTTAATAAAAACTATTGATTCGATTTAAATGAAATTTGATACACAAATAGTCTAGAGCCTGGGCAAGGACATTTTTAATGTGAAAAAGGGGTTGTAAGGGGGAAATTTGTATGAAAGTAATGTCAAGTAAAACATATATCAATCAGAATTTCACACGAACTAAGTTGCAGGCACAGCTATTACAAACATATGATAAAAAACTTATCTTGCTATAAAATTATTTGATATGATGTATTATGGGATATGATGATAAGTATGATTATAGCACTTTTTTCCTCTTGTTATGGTTTGAAATGTTCATTGGTCCATACATTTGTGTGTTCAGTTCAGTTGTAATATGGATAACATATTATTTCAGACATGCCGGAGAAAAGTCATATAAATGTGAGCTATGCACTTTATCATTTTATACAAATGGTGACCTACAAAGACATAACAGAGTTCATACTCGAGACAAACCATTTATGTGCCCAACATGTAGCCAACGTTTCACACACAGCACCAGTTTGAACAAACATATGCGCAGTATTCACGGTATTGATTACAAATGGTCAGATGTGAAATGGAAAGAATCGAGAAAAATGAAAGTTGCCACTAAAAAGAATTATGCAGCACATGAAAAGTTAATTAAAACAAATGATGAATATTCTAAGTATTTTATTTGATTCTAAATAATCCACTTATTTTAAAAACTACAAAGTTACATTTAACCTAAACATTAAAATATTCTGAGTTATTATATAAAAGATTGATTTAAATTACCGATAATTAAATCTTTTATGTCAGGTATTAAATTAATAAGTTCTTGATAAACATGCAAATCACAAATACTATTAGTAAATTTACTATTAATAAAAAGAATAACTTACATTTATTAAGATTCAAAGTCATTTAAAATTCAAATATATGTCAGCTTATATGCAAAGTCACTAAAACTAAATATAATATCTAATCCTCTTCATAATCCTCGTCGTCGGAGATATACTTGCGCTGTTTGCGTTTTCTTGTCGGCGTGTTTTTGCTCTTACCCTTCAGTTTTATTTTCATTTTTACCGAACGATTTGATTCTCCATCCGAGTCGTCTTCATCTACATGAATAGATAAATTTCGATTAAAAGCCAGCATTAAGTAAATAGGACCATATCAAAATTCCATACATGGCGGCCATATTGATACGACTTGTTTAGTTATTTTGTGAAAAGAGATTAAGTGGAGTGATATGTAAGGGAAGCTAATGTTATAAGTGTTTTACCAGTTTTGGTAAATTGTAGTTTGTCCATAGTTTAGGGTTTTGATTGCTCTAAGTAGTATTGTTAACAATCTAACCTTTGTCATTGTCATCCGAGTCGTCAGAATTCTGCGCGGCGTCGTACCGGCGGCGGAACTCGATGAAGACGTTGCGCAGACGCACCGAGTCCTCGTAGATGAGCGACGCCTCCTCGTTGTACGTTTGGGCGTTCGCGCATAAAGTGAAGAAATCACGCTCCAAATCCGTTATGTCAGTGTACTGTGAAAAAAGAATAGAATTATGAATGGAATCAATAAATTACATTGAAACTTGTTTAGGTTATAGTTATATAATAGTAGTGTGTAACTAAGCAAATGACAAGATATTATTTTATAATAAGTTCTATTGCAATACTTGCCTTGCCATCTTCAATTCTGTTCATAATCTTCTTGATGTCCAAGGGTTTCTTTATAACGTCGTAATAATCTGGTAGTTCTCGTCGCGAAGGCAGTTTCATGAATGGCTCTGACAGCACTCGACCGGCGCTGTATAAATAAAAATAAATATCAATTTGCAATTGCATATGTTTACGAATATAAAAAAAAAACTAATTACTTACTCATCAGTGAAATCAATGACTTTCTTCATAATGCTCTTGAGACGTTTCTTAGTTTGATTAATTTCTGTTTTACTCTTTTTCTTTGATGAACAGGGCGCTTCTTCTTCATCGGAATCGTCTTGGCGTCTGAAAATGAAATAAAATTTCTAACCGTTAGTAACTTAGTTTCAAGTTGATCTAAATGGTCCCGGCGTCAGTGATATCACGTACCGTCGCTTGCGGCCTTTCTTGCGTCTCTTGTCCAGAACTTCATCATCATCGTCCTCTTCCTCCTCCTCTTCGAACTCCTCGTCGATGGCCTTGAGCCACTCCTTCTCTGTTAGCGAGTCCGTGTAGTCGACTTCTTTACGTTGTCGTGACCCGCGTCCTAAGGTCTCGTCCTCGTCCAAGTAGTTCCATCCTTGACCCTATTGAATAAACAATGTTACTATTAATTAAACATTAAAAATTTGAACAGCATAACCACTTACTGCACTAAGAGACGTTAATTGACCACTGAGGAAGACGAAGAAAAACGAAAAATCGTAGCAAAACATCAGTACTGGAACATGTTCTAATTTCTGTTTGTGCTGATATTTGCAGAGGAAACTTACCTTGTTGCAAACAACTTCGTCGTCTTCTTTGACGAGCCAGTCGGGCAACTCTGACTCTTCGATGAGGCGCGACTGCGATTCCGTCTTCTTACGCTCGATGTCAATCTGCTTGAAGATCTCCAGCTCCTCCTCCGAGCGCGCTATCATCTCGTTTATCAGATCGTCGTCGGGCACTTCGTTTTCCTCCTACAATACACAATTTGGAAATGAGTTCTATAAAGCGTTTGGATTACGGTTAAATTTTGTGTTACCATTTAATATAATGCGGTGATTTGTGAGTGAGTTATGTAATAACATATGAATAATAATTATACGAGAATTAACAATTTCACCTCTTCATCGTCGCCATCCTGATGCAGGATGCTCTGCAGGAACTGCTGCCGCTCAGAGCCCGTAGACTTCTGATCGAACATGCCCGCCTGGATAACCTTCTCGTCCATGTTCAACTTGTATCTATAATATATATGTTATTTATTCTACAATTAAATGTAACGAGTAAAAGTTGGAACCATATCTTAGTCCATAATTGTTTACTGGTTGAATTTACCGAATTAAAAAAAACGTGAGCTACATACCTGGCTGCGGCGAGGATTCTCTCTTCTACAGAGTTAACAATCATGAGGCGCAGCACTCGCACCTCGTTACGTTGACCGATACGATGGGCACGATCTTGCGCTTGGAGATCCTACAAGAAATTTTTACTACATTAGTTTGTTTAGAATAGGTTTGAAAACTTCTTAATAGTTAAGAAAAACTCCAATGCAAAGTTTTTTAAGAAGCGAGCAACCTTTGTCCAACTTAAGAGTTCAGTATTCTATATCATAGAAAATTTCTATCATCACGTTGGAGTCAATCCACAGCCTTCATGTGGTCTCCTGGTCTGTCATCATGTTGAAAGGGGGTTTGGTGCATACCTGATGTGGGTTCCAGTCGGAGTCAAATATGATGACGGTGTCCGCGCTCTGCAAGTTGAGGCCGAGGCCGCCGGCGCGCGTTGACAACAAGAAGATGAAATATTCAGAGTTCGCGTCGTTGAATTTCTTCAGCAGCTCACCACGATCCTCCGCCTTCGTCATACCATCCAATCTACACACATGAAAATTCATATCTTTCATTCAACTTTGTCACATAAACATTAATATTTTCCACAATTATAAAGATTAACAAATCTAGGAATAAAGCCTATAAAAAGCCAGAGATTTTGTTGATAAATGTACTTATAATATTTTTGGTTCAAGATAATGAAAAAAGTTTATCATCTCTACTGACTTTGAATTCAGTTGTGCATGTTACCTCAAGTACTGGAAGCCTCTCCAAGACAGGAAGTCTTCAATAATGGTCATGCATTGCGTCATCTGACAAAACACAAGCACTCTATGCCCCGTCCTCTTCAGCTTCGGCAGGATGCGGTCCAGCAGCTCAAATTTGCCCGACACCCGGTACAGGTCAGGCCTGGATGTAAAAATAATATTTTTAACATTTTACTTTTATGCATAGTACCTGTTGCCTGTGTCATCTTTTGTGTAGTTAAAAACTGATTGTTATATGTAAAAGATTTCCCAGCCTTTGCGTCCATCTAGATAACTACTATGTAACTAAATATTAGTTAAAAATGCATAGTTTACCCGGTGAGCACAGAGCTGCCGGTGCCGATGTGGTCGCAGAACTTCTCCTCGATGTGAGGGAACATGAAGGGATGGTTGCACAACTTGCGTAGTTGCACAATCGTGTTCATCAACGCCTTCGCCCCGCCCTTGCCCTTGTTGCCTTTCTCCGATCCGTCTGTCAGCAGCACGCCCTTCGACTGCATATGTCTGGCAACACAACACAAATGTAGTTAGACAAAACAAAAGAGTTTAATTCAAATAAAATTGTATATCATAAAATATTTGTTGCATTGCATTATAAAAAAATATAATTTTAGAATAGTACATACCTATATAGCACCCGTTGAAGTGCACTCATTTCGCACTTAATGATGTACTCCACCTTGTCGGGCAGCTGGCTCTCCACCTCCTTCTTCAGACGTCTCAACAAGAACGGACGCAACACTTTGTGCAGACGACGGATAATCAAAATTGTTTCTTCTTCGTTCAATTCCACCTACAATAATAATAATTAATAACATATTCATGGATTATTCAAGTAATTTACTTTTAAAAAGGAAGTCTCTGATCTTCATCATCAGCTCACTATAAGTCCCTGCCGAGGGGTACCCTATCCTAATCCTAGCCTATCCTAAGTTAAGGGTGTCAATTTCAAATATTTAACATACTTTTTCACCAGTGGTGGCAAATGGTGCGTTGAACCATTGCTCGAATGTTGAGCAGCTCTTGAATATGGATGGCAGCAAGAAGTTGAGCAGCGCCCAGAGCTCGGGCAGCTTGTTCTGGAGCGGTGTGCCGGTCAGCAGGAGCCGATGTGGTGCGATGTAATGCGTATTAAGCACCTGAGTTAGCTTGCAGTGGTGGTTCTTCATACGATGCCCCTCGTCAATT